CAATAATAATAACAATAATAATAACAATAATAATAATAATAATAATAATAATACGTTACGACGTCCTAGGCCCCTGGGTGGGGCCCGACTAGTAACCAATGCCAAATCTGGCGAAACAACTGGCCGCTGTGATACAATTGTATAATAATAATGATGATGATGATGGAAGCGGCAGTGCCTGGAGACAGCAGAATAGAAGAAAAAGAACTGGAGAAGATAACAAAATATAAAGACCTACAAATAGAAATAGAACGACTATGGCAAAGGCAAGCAAGAATAGTACCAATAGTAATAGGCACCTTGGGTACAGTCCCAAAACAACTGAAGCACCACTTGAACACCATAGGCATTGACAAATTTGTCATCAGTCAATTGCAGAAGGCGGCTTTACTTGGGACAGCTTCCATCCTGTGACAATATCTGTAACAGCCAGATTTGCCCATCCCAGGTCCTTGGTAAGGACTCGATAGGTAGACAAAAATGCCAAACCCAGTCTGAACATCTGGCTGACTGCAATGATCAATCATCATCATCATCATCAACAACAACAACAACATCAACATCATCATCATCTAACACCCCCCCCCCCCACAAAGTCTCTGTAAGTTGGATCATATAAAAAGAAATAAAAATAAAATATATGGCTTGTGTTTACTTCTAGTAGCATAAGAAAACCCCGGATCAAGAAGAGAGTCCAATAGTCTCTTGTCACAGCCGGCCCATGGCTGGAAGGGGAACTCCTTCACATTTCTTCTCCACAATAAAGTTTTCTGGCTAAATGGAATAGTTGAAGCTGCCTCAAATAAAGACATGTTCTTTGGCAGCTGCTAGGTAAACTCCAAATCCACACTTTGCTCGTTTGCAAAATATGCACATTAGTCATCTTTATGGTGGCTAAACACACACCAAGAAAAGAACAGTCTTCGGTTTGAGGTGATTCATTTTGCCATGACCAGGAGTTTAGTTCCTGGAGCAGAGACTTTAAATAGTTACAGCCTTGAATTGTTGACTCTATCGGAACAGGGAGGGAGGAATGGGGAAGAACTAGGGAAGGTACTAGAAGTGTTTTAATTTAAATACACTAATTGTATGTTTGGGAAACAAGGAGGTGGGTGGAATTTTAATTTAATTTTGGTTTGGGCTTTTTTGGGGTAGGGAAAAGTAAACAAGCAGGGAGAATAATACACTTTCAATGTTGTTTGGAAGTGTATCACACTGTTGTTGTTTGTTTACTGTAAGAGTCACTGAATCTACTCTACAATTTTCATACATGCTCTTGAGCAATGTAAAAAAAAGAAGAGAAAAAAGCACAGACTTCAGTTGTGTCACTTCCTTATTCAAGACCATTGGTGGTGCAAACTGTCATGAAGTTTGGATCTATATTTCATCATTAGTCTTTAAGTTAAAACAACATTAACAATTCCTAGCAATGCTTCAATAATTGAATGCCATTTTCTCTTTTAACATCAGTTTATTATTAGTAGAGATTGTCATTGAACCAAAAAGTAAACCTGCACTGGATCTTCTAAATGATACTAAAGGTTTCACTATGGCATTGAATTTGAAAGAACATCTTCAGAATTTTACAGCACTAAAGTTCGAAAGACATTCTGTTATTACCATGCAATAGTGTATATTAACAGCACAGTTATTCAAGCTGCCAAATTTAACCAGAAAACCACATATTATGACTTGCACCTCTGCTTCCCTAAAAGCATAGCAAGTCTCAGTTGATCCATGAGTAAACCTTTAAAAACTTTTTTATTTCTAATATGTAGTTATTTCATTGGAAAAAAATGATAATTATAAGATTATAGTAGTAGTTTTTCCGAGGACATTATTTAGTTAATTAGGGAACAATCCTATCATGATTCATACTAGATAACAGGGATGTTAACTAATGTATATCGATCTTGTTTTGGGGATACGTTTTACCTTTTCTGCTAATTAGCACAAAATGATTAAATATAGTGTAACTATGATATAGGAGATGACCAGGCTGAGCCTGAGGGAGGGGTCAAACACATCATAAGACACAAGTCCCTACATGCCCTCAAAAGAGCTAAGTTCAGCCCACCTTGAATTTCTTTCTTTTCTCCCGCTCATTTCCCTTGACCGCTAGTTGGTCATATTCTTGCAATAAATATACTCATTTGAACTGCCTGAATCTCCAGTTTTCCCTGGTGCTTAATATATGATTAGCAATAAATATAAATTGCAGGTCAGCTGAAAAAAACATAAGTTTAATGAAAGTTTACAGTGGTGAGTGAAAAACATGTTTTTGAGTGAATAATATGTCTCGACAGTCTCCCCACCACCACCACCAATCCTTCGGCGGCTGTTCCCCAAAATTTTTGAGCTCAATCCTAGTTTGTGTTATATAAAACCATTAAACACATGGTTTCGATTTCTCAGAAGTCATGTCTGAATTTCTAAAGCTATTGTGCAAAATGAAATGAATTTCTGTTGTCTTGAATGTTGTCTTTATT